AAATTCAGACAGATATAACCAAAATTAGGATTCAGAATCAGCTATTTTTTTATTTCGGTCCCGAAAACTTTTCATTATTCCGAAGCCCTCAAACAATAGCTGATTCTGAATAATTCCCCGAAAACTTTTCATTAATCCGAACCCCTCCATTAAAAAGGGTGCCACATTAATACTTGAAAGACACCCTTTGAGCATGGTTTTTTAAACATCAACTTTCGATTTTGAAGCTCCTGCATTGGTGAACATTTCCCTCTGGCCATTCCCGAGATCCTGCGATTGCTGCTTCTGACAAAGAATCAAGGAGCCGTCCGAGTGGGCAGTTATCACGCGGGTTCCCTTAACGGAGGCCTATATGACTACATATAAACCCTTTGTTCTTATGGGCCTTACATGATTCGACGATCCGCACTCTGAGAAACTCCCCAATCATGGACAAAATTTGAGAAGTCCTACGGCCGGCCCAGGACAACCTTCGCGAGGCAATTCAAACATGTCAAAAATTGAGCAGCCACTCCTAGAAGCAGCTGAAGTTTTGACACACCTGCAGCAACTATGCTTCAAAAACTGGTTCACAATGTTTCAGTCATCTATCCAAAAGGTTACATGCAAGCTCAGGAACCCCTTTCAACACATTGTCAGACTGTATATACACGTGAAATTTTGTAGTAGTAGCGTCACACTTGCAGTTTCTTTTTCGACACAAGCCATCGATCATAATACAGCACGGAGTGCAGTTTCCCAACATCTGGTGTTATTTTTGGTTGTAGACCACTTACGGTGCAAGTTTGTCGAACCCTAGACCCGAAACCCCCTTGAATGTCTCAAGTATCCCGATAATTCCAATACAGCCCCGGAACCTGACCTAAATCCTATAAACCTTATATGCACCCTCAACCCTAAACCCTGACCACCCCAACACCCGAGGCTTAGATTCTTAGATGCTACCTTCCGTTGGCCTGCATACCCTAAACTAGACTGCTGGTACCCACTGCGGCCTCCAGAGGATCTTACGTGCCTACGATCAGCAACATTTCTATGGCTTTACACCCCCGAGAAATGAACAAAGTAAACAATCCAAAACTAAAACATCAAGACCCTATAAAACCTCAAGCCCCCTGAAAGCCTAAATGCCCAAATCTCGAAATCCATAACAATCCCAAACCACACCTTTTAACAACCAAACCCCAAAACCCCTGCGCCCCAATTCCCGTACGCCATAAATGTTCTCTGGTGGGAGAGGCCACACCGTTGAAACGCAAGCAGTGGATTCAGTGGACTCTGGAGCCGGCAAAGTATGTATTTGCACCAGGTGCCAGACGGCAGAGCACAAAACCGAACAGGCCTTGTGGTGGGAACTACGTTACCCGCTAAAGAGTGCGATTAGTATGTCATGACGAATACAATCTCTTAGTGGGTTGATGACACGGAGGCCCGCATTCTGCCGGGCCAAGCCATTCAGTGCGTGCCCCAAAATGCCTGATGCCCAGCTGCCTTGTAGCTCATCAGGCAAGTCTGTAAAGGGATTTGCAAGGATTTTTGGGTTGGACAGGATCTACTTACACAGAGAACATCTATGAAGGTTTAGTGGAAGATAAACAAAACTCAGTGAACAAATCCCCGACTCTCGTCGTCTCCGCTGTGAAGTCTGCCAAAAGGGCCTTTGAGGGATTGTAGTGAAATTAGGGACCTATTTGAGGGGCCTATCTAATCAGAGAAAGGGTTGGGGCTACGTTATACCAGACAAGAACTGCTCCGCCGCTTGCTACCAGGATGCGAAAAGGAGCTCAGAGACCAGGAACTGTGTAATGTAGGGGCTTGCCTGATTCGAACAAAGCTTTGGGCGTATATATGTTTTGTAGATATGAAACATTGAAATGACATGGAACAGATAGTGCCAAATGAAATGGAAGCCAGGTTATGTAGCGATTGGTATAGGAGTGTAATGTAGGGACCTACTTAAGCCAGTATTGGGAAGCTACAGAAGGTTGCCTTTTTCAGGATTGTTCAATCGCATTTGTCGGCCCAGTCCATTGTAATGTGGGGCCATCAAGGCGTTGAGCACAGATTGTAAAATCTTGATCCTGCAGCTGACATTTGCAGAAAAGGCATTCATTTAAATCCCCAACGAAGGAATTCTAGCCAACAGCCCCGGCAGCAGATGTCATTACAAGTCATCCCCCTCTTCCTAAAACCCGTTGCCCAGTCTCTCAAACACTGAAAGTCCCTGGTAGACTGCAAAAGCTCAACCTCCAAGCGAACCACAAACATCCAATCCATAAACCTGCATCCTCCAATCCCCAATCCTCAACCTTCTTATCCCCATACCGTAAACCTTAGATCCTAAGCCCATCCCAAAACCTGAGAGAGTTGATCCAATGAACCCTCCAAGCCCAGCAGTCAACCCTAAACCCTAGACGGATTAAGGTGGCATTGTGGCTGGCGCTGGCAAAGCTTTCGTCCTACAAGGCTTGAAGCTCCGTACCATCAATGGGTCGCTGCTAATGAACTTAAAGGGTTTAAGGTGTAGGGCTTATGCAATTTCAGTATTTGACGTGTAGCCATGTAGGTAGCTTGATTTAAGTCCCTCAACAGCAACCCAAATTAGCAGGCCTGAGTGGGTGCCAGGCTTGTACCTTATAGCTTATAAGTGAAAATGTCTGCCTTTTTTGGGACATGGTCATATGTATAGTCATCAAAAGTATCACGTTGGTGTATATTATATGTCTCTTCCAGGAGCGCAACCTACATGTCGGGCCGGCGGCAGAGAGACTCAAATTTTGACAGCCGCTGCTCGACAGGATGCGAAGAAAGTTTTAAACAATGCCAATGACATCCTCCCGCCGGAACATCATCACTTCTTTCAAATTTTCCAAAGCAAACTGCATCCCTAGAAAGCAGGCCCTGAATCATCAACCCATTCCCCCTGTAACGCGCTGGAACTACACAGGTTTGCGGATGCTCGCTGGTGCAATACCATCCTCTTCCATTATAGAACATGCAAAACTGTCCTCGATCACCATTATGGAAGCAGGCGTTTCCAGCACCGGAGCTGTACTGGAACTTTGATGGACAAGCAACGCCGGATGGCAGTGCAGGATCCTGATAGCTTGCCTCGTAGCTTCACTCAGCCGGGGGTGCGAGAAGCAGAAGCAGCAAATGAACAACACAAATCCTGCATTTTTTTACACATACGCGGGTAGACATCGTACACATCGAATCTACTATAAACTCGAAAATCCAGAGCTCTTGAGGTGATCGAGCTTTGTGGAGCAGAAGGCACGTTACAGGAACCAAGTGGAGACTGCAGCAAAACAGAGATTTTGAATGCAATGCTCTGGATTGGATGCAGCTTGTTGTTCTGGATAATTGGAAGTCTTCAGGTTGCTTTGTGCAAGTGAAGTACAAAATTTCCCAGCGGCCAGCGCCGATCTTTCGTTCTTGTAATGAGCTGGTGTGTCAGCGACGCAGGCTTTAGACAAAGATTGTCAGTAGTATTATCCAATAGAGGGTTTATACGACCGGATATGAATCATCGATACAAGCTTCAGATAATAATGCCTTTATTCTAATCTAGGAGCGACCATATCTAGGAATTATCGCTCATCATATACGATAATAATAGTAGAATAAAATTACGAGAACGATGATATCAATCTCGTAATCAAAAAAAATTCTCTATCATCAGAAATGCGCATAATAAGATAATTATCGATCATCATCAATGATTATATCGAAGGCGGGAGATGGCGGGAGATTGGCCGAATCTCAATATTATGGCGCAATTATTCGTGGCTATTTTGATTGCGCACGTACCAATCTTTGCGGCTCAATTCTAAAATGCCTCTCACGAATTCCCTAGGGACTCTAAAATCTCCGAAATTTTTGGGTCGCACTTCCGCGGAACGGTTTTATATATGATTTATTTGGCTTTTTATTTGTTTACGTGGTCGCTCGGCGGGATGAATTGATTTAAAATAATCGCACTTTTCCCTGATCTACGGCGTATCAATTAGCCTAAAAGACATAAATAATGAAATAGAAATTAGGAGGCAGATTTTGGAGGGCGATAACTCATCCAAGAGAAATGATTGAAGAGGAAAGATCGGGTCGGAGATTGGGAAGTATATGATTAGAAATCTCTCCAGATTTCGAATAATTTCTTCTGCTTGGCTATCTACGTAACGATTCGGCGGAATATATATTTCTGAGATACTCAAGAGGACGTTGGAGGGAAAATGATGCCTGGATATATTATAGGGTGCGAGGGGGAACCCGATTGGGGTCAAAAGATTTATCTAAACCATTGAGATTGATGATTTGATATCTCTTGGCCAAATCTCTTCAATTTGGCGAGAATTTGACGAACTTCAGAAGAGTAGAATATTCTGAAGATGATCTCCTATAAAATAAAGCACCTATTATAAGGATTTTCGTGAAATATGAAAGCAAAACCTCCAGCTCTGTCAAGTAGGGAAACAGAATCACGTCACGATTTGATTTTCAAATTGAAATTAGATTTTCATATATCTATAGAGGATTAT